TCCAATTTCTCACTATGTGGTTAATATATATGTTGAAGAGGATAGGTGATAATCCACATCCTAGCCTTAAGCCACTGTTGATTGTTATTGTTATTGCTGCTGACTTTCATCTCTCTCTCTCTCTCTCTTAACAGTGTTTTAATTCTTGAGTCCTTGAAGAGATTTTTTATTGCATTGAGCAACTGATTTCGACCTTTCACCTCTTCTAATATTTTCCAGAATTTCTGTATATTAACTTTGTCATAAGCCTTTTCATACTCAATAAGTATTAAAAAAGTTCTGCCTTATCTTTTGTCTACTTATTTTGTGATGTAATGTAAAGATGGCATTTTTAGTTATTCCGCTCTTTCGGAATCCACACTGATCTTCTCCCATGAAATTTTCACATATTTCATTCAGTCTGTTTCTCAGAATGTTGACATACAGCTTAGCTGCTGTTGATAGTAATGTAATGCCCCTTTAATTGTCACAGATTTTCTTTGAGTCTATCTTTTAATATTTTTTTAAAGTTTTTATTCATGTTGATTTACAATCAATACATACATTTAAACAATAAATAAAGAATTTCACTTGCATAAATAATACTGATTGAAGAAGATTAGATTCATTAGTAACTCTCCATTAATACAGTTGATGCACGGATAGCATCATTAGCACATCAGACCCTTCAAGGAAATCAAGAGGGTTGAACTTTTTAAAACACCTTATATTTCTAAATTATTTTCTATGAGATTTATTACTAATATATTGGTACGGCTTGCTAATTTCTGAACATATTTACAATTATAACTTTTTATTTGTTCACCTCTATTTTAATATCAGTGTGAATCACGTCAATTTGAACATAACATAAGCAATGTTTCTTAACACTTGATTGACATCTTTGGATCATTTGGGTGTTGGATTTTGTACTAGTGCCAAAGGTCTCCAGGCAGTAGTTCTAAATGAATTTTAAAAATGATTTAAAATAAGTACTTTATAGTCTAAAGATAACACTGAATTTCTTTCTAAGAATATATTTTTTGTATATTAACTGGTGTCCTTTTCATTTACACAAAATATGTTTTCTCCATTTGAATCTCATCTAAAGACAAACACCTACATATCTCACTACTTCTGTTTTTGATAGGTCAGTTTGGTTCACTTGCCCTCGAGGACAAATTCTTCTCTTCTTGGTGAAAGTAATATGATTTGACTTGCTTTCATTTGCTCTTATTAGCCAAGTATTTAGCCGTGATAGTAATTTGTTGAGATTTTCCTGAAGCAATCTACAAGCCTCTCTTGGAACACTGCCACCAGCTAGAACTTCTGTATTGTCAGCAAATGTAGGTGTTACTGTTTCTTGGGTTGTAAGCAAATCAGGAGTGTATAATACTAGCAGATAACCCAGTGCACTTCTTTGGGGATGCCAAGTACATTAAAGGAAAGATAATTCACTATCATGTTTAATTTGGAAGATGTTTTGTTGTATAGAATTTGTTGCTTAAAATTGTAGGATGTCATGATAAGGGTAGATAAAGCAATTCTTTAGTTTGCAGTACAATAATCCTATAGGGATCCATATATTAAGCAACGTTAAAAAGGGGGAAGGGCGTTTGAGGATACGTTATGCTGTGTTACTTGGAAGTAGGGAGGTGTTACTTTAGTGTTCCATAACAATGATTTATTGTCAATTTTTTGATATCAGATGAAACAATTACTAATTTCTGACTTGCACTATAACACTAAAATTGTAATTAATTGTTTTAAACATAAATAAATTAAAGTTATTGAGCAATTTGTTACAATAAATGGAAGCATTTTTTCATAATTTTTTTCAATCTGTAAGAGTATGAAGAAAATATTCAACACTGGTTTACTGTATTTATAATTTGGAGAGTACATGACATGTGTACGTCTTGTAAGAATTTTCATATCTGTGCAACCTCCTTTCTCACAACTCTTTTTCTCAGTCTTATAGGTGCATTCAGCATCGCCAATTAATTTAGACTTTTTAAAACATTTTAAAATTTAATTCAAATAAAATTAATGCATTTATTAATTATCATTCTTAAAAAAATTAATACAACTTTTTCTGCAATATAATCTATTTTAATGGTGAGGGGTGTTGCAAACATTACATAGTTATTTAGGGGGAGGGTTCAAGTGTGCATTATGGGTTTGTTATGGTGGAGGGAGAGAGTATTCAAAATACTCCAAATTTGGGTTACATAATTTATGGATGGCCCCATACAGCAAACTTTGTTGAATGCCTCTCTAGAAGTGCAGCACAGCAATATTTCTTTTCTTACAGACTTTTACTAATGATGTCCACCACTCAGTGCCCTTGTTCAAAAGTAAAATGGTTTCTTTGGAAAACAAACTTGTGTTCAGGTATCCAGTCTTCTAGTTTAGGTTGTAGTTTTATCATCAAGAATATTTATCCTTAAATGCTATTTACAGAGAACACTTACAGCCTAGCTTACAAACTATCTAAATGTACTTTGTCTTTCCTTCCTAACTTATTCCAACAATTTACATTTTCTGAACGGAGAACATGTTAATGAACATGTACGTGATTATATGAAAAAAGAGCAGAGATACTGCAGGAGTACATATCAGGAATGTGTGGTAAATATGAGACAAAGATCCAAGTGAGCATGCAGTGATCATGCACGGGCAATATAACAGAGCATGTTGGGAAACATGCGAGGGTTGGGTGGAGAGAAGAATTGAGTGAATTACCTCTTCCTCCTTAGCAGGGTAATCATGAATGAGAAGAAACTAGAAATTTATGTAAAATGAAATTCATACGTTAATTGGTCCATCATATCAGACTTTTGGGATCCAATGTTAAATAATTTTCGCTCTTAAAACAATAACGTACGAAGTGCAAAATATTGGCTCGGATTCAGCTAATTTGATTTCTTTTCGTGAAAAAAAGAAAAGAATGAACTATATATGACGTAGGGGGAAAAGTAACAACAGCGCACGTTTTCTTGAACTCGAATCGCTTAGCCCTCCTTTTTGTAGTCAAAGGACGGATAAAATTATGTACCAACAAAGCAAGGTTAGCAACATCTGAAAAATAGAAAAGTTCGCTTCAGAGTTATTGAAAACATTCGCATCGGTAAACGAACGCCAGATCTGATTTTATAGTATCACTAAACAAAATAGCCACCCACACCCGACCACAACTACTAAAACGTAGTGGGAGAGTTCAAAGCGCGTAGTGAAGCCGTGTGCCTCATGTGTGTGTGTGTGTGGTGTTACCAGAGCCAGGACTGCGCCCGGAGGGAGCTTCTGCGCGGGGCGGCGGCGTCGGGCAACGCTCTGCGCCTGAAGCTGATGCTGCGCTCGTTCCAGTGGAGCGAAGAGGAGGTGACGGCAGCGCTGCTGGCGGTCGCGTCCCGACGCACCGCCGTCGTCATCGCCCGTGAACGCCCTGGCGTCTTCCAGGTAGGCCTTCGCGCCACGCGTTCGTTCGCATTGACAGATTACTAATTCCGGGCAGCTCGAGTGCTAAGAGCACTCCTTTCCGTAAGTGTAGTGCACGTCGCTGGATGACGAGATCCGGCGCCGAGCTATCCGTCGGCTTGAGGGTCTTTCCTCAACCAAGAACCTCCCACCAGCCGGGCACCGCCCAGCTCGGGCAAGCTCTAAAGGTCCATTCAGAATGCAAACATAAACATACGCATGGCGTTAACATAAAAGTTGGTACTACGAGTACGTCCATAAGCGGACTCTTCACATAACACGTAAGACTTGAACTTAAAAGCTTGCAAGCTTCTTTACTTATGGTTAAGTTAGACTTAAGAAATGAACCAATCACAGAACGGTAACCCAAAATCGAGAATAGAAATAGGGGTGAAGTCGATAGACGAACTAACGCAATATGGGTCATGGGTGCAGTCGATACCTTGAAATCAATTTTCACATCCAACCAATAATAAACCAAAATGTCCCACAGCCAATAGAAACGTATTTTGATTACGTTTATGTTAGGCATTGTGAATACTTCAGCCAATCATTTATGATAATGTTTATGTTTATACACTATGCTTATGTTTACGTTTGCATTGTGAATGGGCCTTAAGATACCTACGTTTGTGGTAGTGTAGTGCATGTAAGTGCAAGTAAACGGTAGGATAGAATAAGAAACGGGAAGGAAAGTTCGCGCGCGGTCCGTGATCCGTTTGTTAGGGTACTTCTCCGGCATTCGCCTGGTGTTGATCGAAGAAACCACGAAAACCACCAGAAAGGGGCGGAACTCTACCTTGCAACTACACAGCTAGTAATGAAAATCCTGCCAACAACGAGACTCGAACACTAGGGCTTCCCGACACCGCAGTAGAATCAGTTGATGCCCTGAGACACCTAGGCCAAAATCAACATATAATTCTGACCGTGTATCAGTATTAAGACCAACTAGTGCCGTGTTTGATTGGGCGTGTGTTCCGTTGCGTAGGTGTCGTCGCCGTGGGCGGTGCGAGGCGCGTTAATGATGGAAGACGTAGTCGCGCTTCGCGGGTTGCTGGACGCAGGCGCAGCCCCCGACGAACCGTGCGGCTACTTAAACGAGACGCCCCTCCACTTGGCCGCCGCCTGCTGCAACTTCAACTGCGCACTCGAGCTGCTGCTGCGCGGCGCCAACCCCAACGCGTGCGACAGAAACGGAGAGACGCCGCTGCACAGGTATGTACCTGCCACTGATCACTCGTTTTAAATCGTAGAAGTACTATATTTCATTTTGAAAATGTCAAAATCGTTCATCTCATCCAAAATGTTCGTCCCATGCAAAATGTTCGTCCCATGCAAAATGTTCGTCCCATGCAAAATGTTCGTCCCATGCAAAATGTTCGTCCTAAGCAAAATGTTCGTCACATCCAAAATGTTTGTCACATCCAAAATGTTCGTCACATCCAAAATGTTGAACCATTTTGGAGAATTAAATTAAATTGAATATTTTGATTATGCCTTCCCCCCACCTTTTCTCTCATTTATATATTTTTTGCAACTTTTAGCCACTTTGCAACTTTTAGTCACTCTGCAACTTTTAGCAACTTTTATTATGTAGCCACTTAGCATCTTTTAGCAACGTGCATCGCATCATTTAGCCATTGAAATTTCATATTATTTCGAACATTTCCTCGAGATGGGTTGACCTCCTCCTCCTTGCCACCGTTCCTCAGCACTCCCCCTATCTTTCCTCTGTCTCGCAATCAAGTCCGACGCCCTCACTAAACAAACTTGGTTCTGCGCGGCAGAGCGGCGGCGCACGGCAGCGCGTCCGTGCTGTGGCTGCTGCTGCACCACGGCGGCGCGAGCGTGGACGCGCGCTGCTGCCGCCAGGAGACGGCCCTGCACCGCGCCGCCCTCGGCGGCCACGCCCACTGCGCCGAGGTGCTGCTGGCCGCGGGGGCGGACGTGGCGGCGCGCAACGACGTCGGCGCCGCGCCCCTGCACGCCGCGGCGTCCG